TGTCAGCAGATCACATACAAGAACATGCTTGTTCGTGCAGCAAACTACATGCACCTTCGAAACTGTGTTAAGATTTGAAAGTTTATTTCGCTGTATAGAATCTATAGATTATATAATAGATTATAGATTGGAAGGATCTGATGCTCAGATCAATTACAGTATAATAGAAGATTGTCGAAAAATTATCTCGTTCTATTTACGACAAAATAACTTCTGTTTGAACTGCATTTCAGAGCCCAAGTTCGTCGTCGGCAAGAAAATGAAGCTGCAAATGGACATAAAGCCTAGGACGAATGACGGAATTTTGATGGCCGTTCACGGCAGCTCAGGAAAGGATTACATGGTCCTACAATTGATCGATGGAGCCCTTCACTTCATAGTTGACAATGGTGCTGGAAGCTTCAACTGTTCCCTGAAACTCGACGACTCAGTCAGCCTGTGTGACGGCAATTGGCACAATATCCTTGGTGAATTTCTTAAAAATTATATTCCCTAATTTTTTAACGAAAATTTCTGGAATGAAGACAGCTTAATTATTTTTTCTAATTATTTTGCACAGTCGTCAAGATCTTGAATCTCGCCACACTGGCGATAGATGGCGTTTCTGGGCAAGCCGGGGTCGGGAAACCCGGAGTTTTCGTCACCAACACAGAGGATCCCTTGTACGTCGGAGGGCATCCGAATCCTGTCGGACTTCCGGGATTTTTGACAACTGATCAATACGTGGGTTGCATCCGGAAATTGTCAGTCAATAGCGTCAGTATCAATCTGAGCGATGGGCAATCCGATGGAAAGGTGTTCCTCAACTCGTGTCCCACAATTTAGAAGACGATGAACGTGGATTGATTTCAGCAGCCCGCCTTTATTTGGAACAACTATCGTTTCACAGAACTTTCAGTCATTATTGCGCGATGTAATAGTGATCATCTGCCGTTATATATGTCAGACGGAGATTTTCTTGACTTCATTTACTCTTGAAATGTAGACAAATTAAGTTCCATGAGAGATTTCTTCCGAAATTTACGAGTAGTTTCATTGATAACTGCAGATTCAGAAATACAACCATTTTCTTTCATTTCCTGTGCATTGAAGTGGATTTTATTCGTATACTGAGAAGTTCTCAGAAAAAAGGATGTTCAATCCAAAATCAATCAAGATGAAATTCAAGGGATGGTATTCATAATTCTCCTATGAACATACAGCAGAATCTCGTAACAACGAAGCGTTTGGGACTTTAAAAACGCCTCGTTGTCAAAAATATTCGCTAAAACGAAATTAAGATAACATTGTGGCTATTGGACAGGGACCAAAAGAGCAAATTCACGTAAGAATTAACTCGTTATACAAATAGATTCGTTGTAAAGATATTCTACTGCTGTAAAAGTATGTAAATGACAAAATCCCATAAAATGAACAAATTTTGAATAATTTAAAAACTTCAGTGTGTCAATAAAGAAGAAAATACAGAAAATGTTCATGGAAAGTTCCATAATGAACTGTTGAAATTTTGCAATTTTAAATATTTTTTGTGAAAATGTTTCGAAAATTTTCCATCATAGAATCAAATAAGATGGGCTTCTGTATAACATTTTTAACATTTGTATATGTCCAACTATGATGTGCACTGTCTTTTTCCGTTCGTAATTTGGGAAAAAATGGTGCGTATGGTACTTAATATGTACATATGGCAACAGTTCTCCCCTCTGCCATGGACCCAAAATTTTTTTTCAGAATTACTTCCTGAAAATATTAAACGTAACACCATTTTTTTTATTCATTGCACTGCATGCTGTCTATTTATTTCTCACAGAACAATTTTAAAATGCGGCATTTTGAAAAATTCGGATTTGACCTTTAAAAAAA